TATGATACTATACTTAGTCCTTAAGAATAAATCCAGTTGGCTCCTAAAGGACTCATGGGAAGTCGCTTGGACTAGCTCGGCCGGCAGCGGATTCCAGCATTTGACAACTCTTAAGGAGTAGAAGTTGCGTCTGCAGTTCGTTCTGCTATGTTGTGTAGCTGGTTTCTGGGACTAAGCTGAAGTAGGTGTTTTAGGGGATGTCCAGAAGTGTTAAGGTTATTGTAAGCCATTAGGTCACCTCTAAGACGTCTATACTCTAATGAGTAGAGGTTAAGTGATTGGAGGCGATTTTCATAAGGTGATTTCGTGCATATCTTCGTCATTTTCTTGCGAGACTTACATACTCAGGTCCTCTCATAACTTATTCTAACCACCATGGGTTGTCACGCCAGCTGATGGATGGACACGCGTTACACATCCTAACATACTTCTTATCTTATAGCTTCTAATTCAAATGACAAGCAAGCAATGCCCCTACCCGCACTAATGGAACACTAGTAACTAAAATGCACCCCGTATGGTACCTTACACTGGTTTACGCACTCGCTGAGCTCTTTAGTGAGAATATTATTACGGTCCTGCTGAAAATTCCATGAACCCCCATACCTCCATCAAAACAAATAAGTCTGTATTTGCAGTATATAGCAATTTTATTATTCAAAAGTAAGATATAACAGTTAGAATTGGAGTGAAATGGCAGTATACAGCAGATGCACGTGGTACATGTCTTCATCGATCAACTGAAATAGAGAATACGGATATTAGCTTAACAGGCTTATTTAGAAAGACTAGTGTCTAATTTGAACTTACTGCGTGAGAAAGTTATACTGGAACTACGAATGTTGTAGAAATAGAGCTTCTCGGGGCGTACGAAGCACTCAGACTGTAAGACAGTTGTCCAAAAATAATTTGAATATGATGGTGAAAATTTGCAGGTACTTCTCATCGTAAGGGTGAACATATTAGGTACCAGTTGACATCATACCGTAAGAAAACACAAATTTGCGAGTGGTGAAATATGATTTATAAAAAGTGAGCTTAATAACAGTTAATTACCGTTTTACTCCCTGATCATGACCCTTCGGCTTCCTTTTATGGCCAAAACAGCAAACATACACTAGACACTGGTAGCAGATTTCCGCCTTTCAATGTTAAGCTTGCTTTAACGCATTGAGTAATGAGTACAACCCCTCTATTACTGTTATATGGCATATTTTTCATAACAAACCCCCTGCAATAGATTGGTGGCATCTGTGACTTCACCTATAGTTGTCGGAAGTCTGGGTCCTTTCGAAATCAGTACCGATATACCCTACTGCTGGGCACTCTGTATTAGTTTGACTCGTTGGTGGGATAGTGTTGTCCATAATACTGAAGAAAATTAAAAAATGCAGATTGTTTCCTTTCATTTTGCCGATAACATCATAAAGGACAGTTAGGAACGAACATGCCAACAGTTAGAGTCACAGGCGGCAGCAACAATTATCTTAGCTAAATAAAAACGAACTTTGGCTTCGGATATCTAGAGAACAAGGTAAAACATAACCGATTGTCGTTTAAAAACGTAAGGTCTTATGTTAGTACTAGCCAGCTTAGCTGAATAAATACAGTGACTTCATTAGCAGCAGGTAAAACCCAGAAAACAAAGCAAAATCAGGAAACATTTTGCTCCAACGTTCAGAGTATTACACTAACTTCTGGATTTTAGCACACTGAAACACCAAATTCTGTAGCTACACAAAAGAAATAGCGGAAAAAACACAGAACGAAGAAAGTCGGCCGACATTTTATAACACAAGACTAGCCAGATTGCCCGAAGAAATACAATGACTTGAGTAGAAGGAGCGAAAACCCAGAAAACATCGCTGTTTCGAAATAAACTTCACACCAACATATAGAACATTACACTATCTGCAGCATTTTAGCACACTGACATTAAATTACATAGCTACACAAAAGAAATAGCTGAAAGAAGCACAGAACGAACAAAGCCGACCGCCATTGTTTACAATGGTTCAAATGGTTCAAATGGTTGTGGACGGAATAGAAGAAGCTTTCGCTTAACAGGCTTCCATGTCTAGTAGCAGGGGATCACCAAATCCTCCAGGCAGGAACCTAGGTATGTTAACAATAAAAAGGAAAAGAAATTGGTAAATCATAATGTGATGCTGTCCTTGGTCCTTAAGAATAGGTCAAGTTGCCTCTTGAAGGACTCCTGAGAAGTCGCTTGGACTAGCTCGGCCGGCAGCGAATTCCAGCTTTTGACAACTCTTAAGGAGTAGAAGTTGTGTCTACATTCCGTCTTGCTATGTTGTGTTTCCAGTTTCTGGGTGTTACCCCTTAGGTTATTATTCGAACTAAGCTTAAGTAGGTGTTTAAGAGGATGTCCAGAAGTGTTAAGAATACTGTAAGCCATTAGTAAATCACCTCTAAGACGCCTATATTCTAGTGGGTAAAGGTCTAGTGAACGGAGGCGTTCTTCGTAAGGCTTAGATTTGAGTCCTCGAACTGATTTCGTGGCTCGCCGTTGGATGCGCTCCAAAGTGACCTTGTCTTTCTGGAGTGAGGGAGGGAGTACTATGTTTCCGTACTCTAAATGGGGACGGATAAAACTATTGAAGATTGTGTGGAAAGTTCGTCCGTCAAACTGTCCAAAAATGCGCTTCAACGTTACCAGTGCAAGGTTTGCTCGGAAGGCATTTTTGTCACAGTTAGCGTAAGACTTTAAGTCGTGGGGCACCAGGACTCCTAAATCCTTTTCGACTTGGGATACTACTAGAGAGGAGTTTCCTAAGTTGTAACTGTAGTTTGCTACATGTCGCAGATGGACTACTTTACACTTTGAAGTGTTAAAGGTAAGTCCGTTATCGTCTGCCCAACTTTGAAGTCGCGTCAGATCATCCTGAAGTGCCTGTGTATCTTCTTGGTTGCGTATCTCTCTCCAAAGTTTCACGTCGTCGGCAAAAAGTAATAAATCTGACGTTACCTGTTGAGGAAGATCATTTATGTAGATCAAGAAGAGAAGAGGCCCTAGTACTGAGCCCTGGGGGACCCCACTAGGACATTCCATAGCCTGAGATAAAGTGAAATTAACCCTAACCTTAAAGTGTCGATTTTTTAGGTATGAAGTAAGCCAATCGATTAGAGGTGGTTTGATACCTAGTCGTTTGAGCTTGTTGATAAGACATAAGTGGTTAACCTTATCAAAAGCTTTTGAGAAATCAAGGTAAATGACGTCAACCTTTCCCTTGCAATCGAGGATGCTTGTCCATTTATCCACCGCAGTCAGCAGGTTGGTTATACAGGAGTAACCCTTCCTGAAACCATGCTGTTGGGGTGAGAAGAAATTTAAGGACAGTAGATAGTCATTTAAACCGTCGCATATCAGGGACTCCATGAGTTTTGAAGGTAATGACAGAAGAGCCACCGGCCGATAGCTTGAAGGTTCATTGCGTCGACCACCTTTGAAAATTGGTGTGATGTGAGCCAACTTCCAGTTTTCCGGTAATTTGCCTCGGCTAAGCGAGTGTGAAAACATCACGCTAAGCGGCGTTGCCAGGATTGAGGCTGCCTCCCTCAGTATGGCAGGATGAACCATATCCGGGCCAGGAGAAGTGTCAAGTCTTAAGTGCTGCAATTTCCGGAACACCAAGTCAGCGCTTAGGTCCACTTCAGAAAGTCCTGTGGAGTTGGAGATGAAACTGTCGTCAATAAAGTTGATGTCAGCCGGTTGAAATGTTTGAGAGTAATGGGCCGCCAGAAGGTTAGCGGCGTCGCCATCGTTGTTGGTCGGGCCGTTAAGACCTAGCAGTTGAGAAACTCCTGTTTTGGCTTGACGAAGAGAGGCTGCATAACGGAATAGGCTTCTAGGGTTTGAGGCGAATTTGTCCATAAGCTTTGTTTGGTACTGAAGCCTGTCTTCTCTTATAGCCTTCGTGCATGTGTTCCTGATATGTTTGTATTGCCTATACGCTCCATCGTTATTAGTTCGTTTGTATTCCGCCCAACAGTGCCGTTTGCGGCTTAGGAGGCGAAGGGTACGGTTCTTGATTACTGTAGGTGGCTTGAAGCTCTTGGGAACCGTTTGAGGAACTGAATGGTCTGTAGCACATAAGAGCGTGTGCAGTAAAAAGTCCCAATGACCATCCACATCGAGTTGAGGGTGAACATCCCAAACGACCTGTTGTAGATAGTCATGTAGAGCTGGCACGTTCAGCCGTTTAAAATTCCAACGCAAATTATTGTTGGGATACCTTAGCTTAGTTTTGATGACAAAACTGAAGGCTATGACGGCATGATCGCTTTTTCCCAGAGGAGCCAGGATTGAGAGGTTGTCGACTAGGAATTCTTCGTTCGTGAATACACAGTCTAAGCGCGATGGTGTCTGACTGTTTCTCCAACGAGTTGCCGACCTCACATTTTCATATAAGCCCAAGTTATCGATGAGGTTGTAGAACCGAGCTTCAATTGAGTTGTCGCCTCCAGTGTACGTGTGTTCCGCGAAGTTGACTCTAGGGAGATTAAAGTCCCCTAGAATCAGTATGTGTGTGAAACCGAGACGGATAGAGCGGGATAGTCCTTCCAGCATACGACTATCGTACTCGGTGTCGGCAGTTGGCTTCCTGTAAATGACTCCGACTAGACACCTGGAAGTACTAGACAGTCTTACAGAGCACCATATGGATTCCTCAAGATTGTTAAACTCGAGGTTGTGAACCTGGTGCACCTCCAAGCAAGAGCTTATGTATATGGCTACTCCGCCCCCAATTCCTGTTTTTCTGTCGTTGCGGAACAAAGTCATCCCAGTCAATGCTAACTCTTGGTCCGAGAACTGAGAAGATATCCAGGTTTCAGATATTCCTATCAGATGGGCCTTATTAGCGCTGCTAAGTTCACGTAGTTCATCCAGTTTGTTTGGTAGACTCGCGGCGTTCATATATAAGCAGTTTATGCTTTCAATTTGGAACGCGTGAGCTTTGTCCTGTTTTTCTGTATAAACCTTATGTGAATGGACAGGTAGCCCACCTATATGAGGTTTGCCGAGGTGGTAGGCCCTGTCCTTTACACGTTTTTTTATCGTTTAGACAGTCCACAAGTGGAATGGTCAGCTCCAACTTGCCTTTGTTCTTGGTCCTAACTTCGTATGGCCTATCCGGGTGCATGTGGATTCCAGGTGGCAATCGACGTCTATTAGCACGAAATGCCTCCAGAACTGCAGCCGCCATGTGGGAAGATGGGAAGGTTATCTTCATTAGACGGGGTCTAAGATCACCGTCCTTCTTGGCTAGTCTCGTCACATGCTGAGTCAGTATGTGTTTGAGCCTCAAGGACTGTTTGATGAATTTCCTTTCCCTGATGTCAGAATTTGGTTGGGTAGGGTCTGCATTTTCCGGCATACCTTGGACAATTATGTTTCTTCCGCGGAAAAATTTCTCGCGAGATTCTTTAGGGACGTTTCGTATAATACTGCGCTCAGAGTACGGTATGTCGGGCAGTATTCTTACGTTACCATCTGATTTCAGCAAGTGGCTTGCTAGCAAGACGTCCTCTACGTCGGTAGCATCCTTAAGTGTTACTCGGAGAAGCCTCGGGTGATTTAGATGCTTAGAATCCTTTCCTCGAGTGAGCCGGGTGACCGTCAAAGGCTCTATTCTAGGAAGTTCAAGCTTCTTGTTCAATTCACCCCAGAGCATCCTGTCGTTTTTGTCCTGCAGACTGAGAGGAAGATCAGGGTTGTCGACGAGGTTCATGATAATGAGAGAATCGTCACGAACTGTTGTTAATTTACCAGGTTTCACGATGGGTTCAGGTTTAGTAACTTGTTGTTTGGAGGTCAGTGTGCGTTTTTGAATCATGGGCTCTTTATTGGCCGGACGAACAGTCTTGGGGGTAGACTGTGCGACTAAATCACCAGTTATTTTCCGTGCAGCAACACTTGGGTTGCTCGGCTTAGGCAGTGATGCCTGGTTCTTTTGGGAGACCCGAGTTTGCCTAGGGAGTTCAGTACCGTCGACGTAATGATGGTACTGAGCCTCGACACGTCGTCGTTAGTGTTGATGGATGCGCCATCGATGGAATACCTATCGACATCCCTGTTTTTGAGTCCGTTGCACGCTCTTGTTTGTATATCAGTTTTTTTGCTATCGTTTTCCAAGTTAACTGACAACTTGTTCCGAAGACCTGTCAGTAGGACAATGATGTTACTCAGCAAGACTACGGAGTCTGTGTTGCACGTGACACACACCCACTTTTGCTCTGACTTGCTGAGTCTGTTGTAAGCAGTTGCTGTCAGATCTGTGCATGGTTCGTGGAACCAACCTTTGCAGTTGTCGCACTGCATGCCAGTTGTGACAGCAAAACGGCATCCCGGACGTTTGCATGAGTTTTTCATGACGGTGTTGAAGCAAATTATGTTATAGATGCTTGCAAGAGCCTAAGACCTTTAAAAAACACTAAAAAGCACACTGAAAACGGACAAAAATGGACAAAACGAGTGATATAAAACTGAAACTAGTCTATACGTGAAAAACAAAAAAAACCGAATAGTAAGCTGAGGCAAAACCACAGGTAACTATTAAATATAGTGAAACTCAAAAAAAAAGTAATCTACCGAACGTATAGCTCAGGATATATTCTTTAGAACTGAAATGGTACTTTAGTTGCGTAAGAACACAGCAAAAGTTTGATAAATGCAAATCACGTTAGGACTAAACTTCCCGTTCGAAAAGCGCGCGCAAAAGATGATGGCGCATGTAATAATTCCCGCCTCATTCTGATTGGTTGCTAAGCTGAAGGGCACATTTACGAAATTGAGTTGCGTTGAATTGCAGCCATCTATGGCTATTATTTTTAACTTTTTACCTAGTACCACTTCGTAGCATGTGATTATAAACGTCTCTGTGTAAACAGATTATTTCGTTCATAATCAAGTGGTTTTTGTAAATTATTCGGTTTTGTAGGCATTGCGATTCCTTTCATAATGTTTGCAAATAAGTCTTTAACAAGTTTTCTATTTATACCATCACACCATGTTTATTAATAAAATTGTCATCAGAAGGAACGTTTTAATTCGCCGTTAAAACTCAATTTCGTGAACTGAGCGCTTGATACAAAGATTTTTTTCCATCCATTTGAAATGAAAACAAGTCCAGAACTTGTGTGGTAGCCACCAGTAGTTATGAATTACTAAAAATAACAGAAATTATCAATAATATTTAACTGTCTCAATGGTAAAGTTTCATCTTGTTTCCAGGGTATAACTCAGAATATTGATATCTATGAAATGATTTGGTCCATTGGTGGAGTCCGCTGAAAAGTGACAATTTTTATTTGGTTAAACACATAAACATTGGTACAAGAAGGCAACAAGTAAATATGTGCTACACCGATCATTCTATTAGTGTGAGGGCTAGAATACCGATCGAGTACCCAAACCGAAACAGGTGGCTTTCTAAGCGTGCCACTCATCGCGCCTTTGCCTTACAGGTCTAACCCACAAGACAGTGGATCAACGTTATGAGATGCAGTCACATGATATCCGGTGGCCAACAACATGTTCATACGCCCTTTGTTCCCTCAGGTTCCTAGAGCCCATGTGCACCATCGACTTGGAATCAGGGTTTTTCAACTTCTCTAGGTCGATGTGTATCCACCAACCCGGTTAAAGCTCCGGACATTTGCTTATTAACAGTGTTTAAGCACTGGATATTTCCTCTTTAAAACGTGGTTAACTTAAAAGTTGAACAGCGTAAGGACCTGTATAAATCAAACTTTGAGAACTTGAATTCGCTAGTGTCCGTTTTGTAGAATAATTATTTTTGTGCACTAAATGTTTGGAACAACACATATAAGCGAACAATTGTTTCCAATTAGATCGTCATCAGGTTTTACTCTAATATACATGAATATTTATACGAAAATGTAAACCAATCAAGGCAATATGAGTCAATAATCACAATGAAATGTCATACACGTACTTCTTAATGAAAGCACTGGAATAGCCGATCTCGGTCAGTGAGTTGTTGGTAAATTCAAGCTCCTGACTTAGAGTATCTACTGTACAGATCTTTTTCGCTCTGCTAGTGAGACATTTGAAACTTCAGAAGTGAGTATATTGGCATGAAAAGGAGTTTCTTCTATACACGCTTCTACTTAATGTGCCGTCACTTCGTCTGCTTAGTGTGATGTCAAGGAAGTTCAGCTTCTTATCATGCTCGCTTTCACCAGTGAAAGTGATCTCTGGGTGAACACTGTTGAATTGGTCTAGGAGTTCCTCCTTACTGGTGTTTTGATCAACGATAATGAAGGTGTCGTTATAACTTAACTAACTAGTGATATTTTTTAAAAATTTTATTATTATCATTATTTATTTTATTCGATTTCGTTATCATTAACCTTATTTCCACATCCATTATTTGTTTGTAATTTTCCGCCTCTTTGTATTCTTCACCATCTAATTATTTACACACATCTTAATGATTTTGATGTTTTGTGATTACTATTCCTAGTCTATTTACCCATGTTCGATCTTCTATTTCCAACGTTTAACTATTGAAAAGTGTTTTGTTACTGTATTTTATTATCCTTACTATTATCAGTTGACCTGTCTCCTATTATCAACTTGTACTTTTACCTATTATGTGTAGAGACTTATTCTATTTCATTGTGATTATTGACTCATATTGCTTTGATTGGTTTACATTTTCGTATAAATATTCATGTATATTAGAGTAAAACCTGATGACGATCTAATTGAAAACAATTTTTCTCTTGTATGTGTTGTTCTAATTTTCACAATGGGAATCTTTAATATACTAAATGTTTGTATGGATTCGTTTAGATTGGAGCAAACAAATAAATGTTTATGTTTTGTACACCTAAATAGCTCCTGATGATGTTTGTTTATGTGCTAAAACGTTACTACACTACAATAAAATTCACGAAACTTCGTTTTCAGAAGTTGTAAGTCGTTAAAATCTGAAACTGCCATCTTACATTGTGCATATACCTAGACGAAAAAATAGAAATAATCCTCTGGGTCTTGGAACTGACATAATGTTGATCAGCAAGACTAGTGACTGTCGTTGTTATAATTAAAAGGGGTTTTGATATCAGATTGTTAATATCCTTGTTCTGAAATTCTGTCTGTCTTGGTTGATGTTTCACTGCTAGCAATAATTCATCTATCCCATGGATAAAAATTAAGTTGTTTACTGATAAAGACTTTTAAAATGATTGAATGAAGCTTTCAGAATTTTGGATCTCATGCAATGCAGCCTGTAAATGACAATTTAAAAACGACCGTCTTTGCATACCAGCAATTTAAAAGTCTTGTAATTGCATTTGCAAAAATATGGGTTGTAACCAGCCTCCGAGCACCAATCCGAAGGCTCGACTAGGTTTTGCTAACTTGCATCATTTATGGCGTAGGCAAGATATCCGTCTATCAACGAAAGGACGTGTTTACTGCGCAGCGATTCGTTCCGTCCTATTTCATGGCAGTGAAACATGGCCGGTAAGAGTAGAGGATATTCGTAGGTTACTAGTATTTGATCATAGATGTCTTCGAAACATTTCTCATATATCCTGGGACCATCGAGTACGTAACGCAGTTGTTAGGAAACGGAAACTGGATAAGGATGGTAAGTCAATTGATGAAGTAGTGAAACTTCATCAGTTGAGATGGCTGGGACACGTGTTACGTATGTCCAACCACCGACTGCTTCGACTTGCGATGTTCAATGGTGTAGGAGTAGATTGGAAGAAAGCTAGTGGCAGCCAAACTGAAACATGGCACAAATCCATGAAGTCACTGACAAGTGAACTGAGTCGTGTTAATAAGTGTAGACTACCTAGTTGGGGACCGTGAGATGATAGCAACCGATGGTTAGAGACCCTGAATGACATGGCTCAAAGTCGTTTGCAATGGCGCAGGTGCATCCACTCTTTGTGTTCTCCCAAATTTTGATCTCTTTATTTCCCCTTGTCTTTTTTCTCTTCCCAAATTTATTTCATTGGATTATACTCTTTCAGTAACATCTTCAAACACTAATCTTCCCGATTACTGCTTATACACTTATTACCTCTGTCACTGCGGGATTTGAATCGACAACTGCATCTCTTTGCTAATGTGGTGTGACAACTTGAACTGATGTACGTACGTACGAAGTTCTACGTTGTTACTGGCGAACTGACTTCGAGCATCAATGTTTATGTAATTATTACTAGCAAGTATACTAGATCTCGATTCTGTCAACTTTTTGTAAACTGAGATTCGTTTAATTATCTGATGTTGTACTTATACTTGGTTACACTAGCTCTCCAACCAAGCAATGTCATCTCCCATGGAATAATCATAAACAAACGTAGAGGATAAAGAGAAAATTTGTCTTGATTATTTGAATTAAGCTTGGTTTGTACTGATTTACGTGGGATTCAACGTGGCTTAGCTACAATCACTTATTCCTAACTACTTATATTTATATGCATCTGTCTTTTAATTTCTACAACTAAGCAGTGTTTTAGCTTCAACCAATAAAGTGTGATATATTTATGTTGCAAAAATAACCAAATTTTGAAAATCACATTTCTTTCTTTAAATCAAGTTATTTTGTTCCCTGTGTGTGTTTGATTTATGATACGTTTGTGAATAAAAATCTGAATATTTGAGATATGTGATGTTGAACATTAATGATTTGCTTACATTTTATAGTACATATATTTATTGGGACACCTTAAATTTTCATTTTTTTAGTTGCTCAGAGAGATAAATAGTTTGTAATTTTGCTTGTTGTATCCCTTCATAACTGTAAAATAACTTTAATTAAATGGTTAAATACACACTGCTGAGGAGTTG